TTGTACGGGGGTTTTAGAGCTCTTGCACAGTCATACCAGGACCTCACCAGGTTCAAAGCAATTTGAGTGGTTTCCAGCAAAGTTTAAGCCTGGTAACCGATGGAAGATACCATTTCAGAAGACCAGCTATTGTTCATCGTCCATATGAATGGAGACTGAATGTGCGAACCGGAGATGTGATGGAGAGATTTCTGACAGGAAGCAGATCATTTCCCCATGGAATTTCCTATGATTAATGAAGCTTTTGTAGGTGTCAAAAACAAGTACTGTTACACCCAAGTATGTAATTGCGACCCAAACTCCGCCTCAGGTAGTAGAAAAACATAACCCCCCTTAACTTCAGCTTGTCATATTTTAAGAATAATAACATGTCCTTTTTTTCATGTGGTTATTTCAGGCATGGGGAGATTTGCAGGCCTTGCCAAACTCAACTTTGGAGAGCAAAACACTAGGATTTCTCTGGTAATTAATACATGTTTCTCATGCATTTCTTCTATCTTGAATGAATTTACTATCCCGAACTTAAAATGTGAAACTATAGGCTGGAAACAGTAGAAGGATCAACCAAAGTAGAATATCACATGTTGAGAAGAACACATATTGTAGTGGAGCTGCCTTTGTTCCTAAAGAAGGTGGTGTTGAAGAAGATGATGGTTGGATTATCACATTTATTCACCACCAAGATACTAATGTATCTCAAGTAAGTCGAACAAGTGTTTTTGTTTTGATAATTCAAGGAAAGATGGGTTCATCTGATCTGTATTCTGCTTGAATTCCTGGATTAATTCATTCAGGCTTATATAATTGACGCCAAGAACTCATCAATGAGCCAGTTGCTAAATTACACTACCATGCAGAGTCCCGGATGGTTTTCATGGAGCTTTCATGCCAATCCAACTGCAAAACAGAATCACAAAAATGATTCCTGAAATCTGATGAAACTGTCGCAGCTTTTGAAGTATTTATCCAACGATTTGTTAGCCAATTTTTCGTATACTAATGTTTTGAACAATAAAGCCTCAAACATGGAACATTCCAGTGACCTCCCTCAGCTAAGTGTCTGAGGAATCAAAACATACATTTCAACATGATTATTTTCATAGAAATGAAAATCTAGCTTTTCCACCGATCCAAAAAAGTCTCTCTCAGAAATATGATATATCTTCCAACAATTCAACATATGTTCCCATCCGTCCACATCTGTTTGTCACTTCTACTCCTGCACTCGAATTCGATAATCCTCCCACAGTTTTAACCCAAAATAAGCTCTCTGCTCACATTGTCTTCTTTCTCCCTTCTAGGCCATGCCAGGATGCCATCATTAACTCCCAAGATCACACCTGGAAAGCACAGCCTAAACTCTGTTAAACAACAGGCTTAAATCAATAAGAAAATCAATTAATCTCGAGTAGAAACCGATGAGGCATAGCTTACACTTCTTTTTTTTAGTGTAGTGCATCCCATGTGCTTGCTTTTCAGTTTAACCACCTGTTCTCCAGATAACAAGCTCAAAATAGTATGCATTTAGAGTACGTAAGCTAAACAAATTTAAAAAAAGCTAAAGTCCCAGTCTTTGTAGCCTTGCCCTTAAGGTGGCAGCTCCTCGCAAGGCTGCATTAATTCGTAATTAGATTTTAGTTCACAGTCCTCCGAAATCTCTGTATATGATACTATTAATGTTATGATCGTGAAACTGATTGACAAATTCATCCCAGTATCATGTTTCAGCTATTTCCTATTAGCTGTTGGTGTCCAACTAAATTAATGGTGCCTTTCAGCCATAGAAAATAATCAGTAAAGGGAAAGGGTATAGAAACATGTAAATTTTTATTCGGATGAAGCAATTCGAACAACCTGTCGCTGCTCCAGCCGTTAGGGTCATTATATCACCACTTGTTCTTGCAGTCATTGCAGAGTTGACTACTGTCAAGATTTTGGTCATGATCAGCTCCCATGTCCTCTGCAATCTCAATGCAGTGCGAGGCAACAAGAGTGGCTGCAGATGTGATAGCAGTCGATACTTTAGACGATGTCTTAATACACGTAGATTCCATTTCTGGCAACATCGCATTAGAAGCCGCTAGTGCTGCAACGGCGGCTGCAACTCCGGCCACCGAAACAGCTGCATGAAGTTGTGCATTATGGGTCTAATTTCCTGCTTCTTCCTCTCTTTCTGATCCTTAAACCATTTCCTCATTGTTCTCCCTCTTACAATGCTCTTGTATATCTTCAAATTGGAAATAAAACCTATAATGGTAACTGGTAAGTATATATGATGACACATTGATAAAGAAAACATAGAATTCTTTGACAACAGATTGGATAAAGAAAAGAAGGGTACGGATTGCCTTGAAGCAGTGGTGCTCGAATGATCTCTTTGAATATTTCCAACAGAAGAAGCCGATGAAGACTTGTCATGATCAATGGCATTGGAAGGTGGTATATGCGTGTTGGCAAGTGCTTTGGAGAGTTCCATTGCTGACAGACTCCATGATCTGGCAGGAAATAAAACCTATAATGGTAACTGGTAAGTATATGATGACACATTGATAAAGAAAACATAGAATTCTTTGACAACAGATTGGATAAAGAAAAGAAGGGTACGGATTGCCTTGAAGCAGTGGTGCTCGAATGATCTCTTTGAATATTTCCAACAGAAGAAGCCGATGAAGACTTGTCATGATCAATGGCATTGGAAGGTGGTATATGCGTGTTGGCAAGTGCTTTGGAGAGTTCCATTGCTGACAGACTCCATGATCTGGCAAGATAGTCCATTGATTCTGTAGGAGTTTCAGGAAGCGGACAAGACAATTGCAACCACCTTGGGGAACCATTCTCGTCTATATTTGAAGCTTCTTGACGAGCTTTTTACATTGCATGAGCTCACTAACGCCAAAACAACCCATGTTAGCACCCTGATTTCTCAAGAAACATCAAAACTTTGTAGTAATAATAATAATAGTAAAATCCCTTACTTTCAAATTTGTCCACCTCTTCACTTAGATTCCAACAAACACAGCAAGAAGAAGCCAATGAAGATAAAGAAACTGTTTGACATTTACCATTGGAAGTGAATCTGAAATGCATGGTTTTCCTTTATTGGGAAGAAGAAAGAAAAAAAAGTAGAAGGGGGGATATATTCTATTGCATTGTAATCTGGAAAGGCTCCCCCATTAAAGGCACTTCATCTTTGTCCTCAGCTTCCTGTATTTCAGCTTTACATATTATAAACAGAGTAAAGGAAATTCTTTTTATTGAGCGTCATTATTACAGGAGTCCTCTTTTGTCACCATTACCACTGGCCAAAGCTAGTGCCGAGGGCCCTCTCTTCCACGCCCATTGTTATATTAATATACTAAAGCATTTGTACACGAACTGATTAAAGTTTATTTGTAAAGGTTTTTACTGTTATTAATAAACCCATGTATGTACGTATCTCATTATGTAATATTTGTGTGGTCGGAATCGAAATATTTTGGATCGGATCATCGGAAAGTTATGTGTTTTTGAATAAGGATCTGACAAGAACTTATTTTTGTGCACTGCAGGAAACAGACCATGTGAAGTTCCGTTATTGGTGGAGTAATGAATAAGAATACTGGTCTGACAATTATCTTTCCCGATGTTGCTATTCATTAATTTATTATGGGAATATAGCGTATTTGAAAATGGTCTAATCTCATCCATTTTATAACGTCTTGGTTTACATAAACACGTGTATGATTCATTTCATTATATAATTGTTAACATTACCAACAACCACCAAGTCTAATGAAACTAGCAGTATATTTCTTAAAATTATTAAAAGTTCCAATCATAATTTTTACAAATAAAATAAATTGAATTATGAGATTCGTTCTTAATTCTGTAGTACTAGATCTATTAAAAGATGTACCTTAATATAAATGTATTGATTTCAAGCGGACTATCAAATTAATTAATTAATATATTGAGTTAAACAGTGTTTGATTTGATTTAAAAATTGTTTGATGTGTATTTCACTCGACTCATTTTTCCTTAAGCTCGATACAATTTTATTCGACTCTTATTCGTTAAAAATTTGTTGTTCGTTAAATTCATTAAAACTTTTATCTCATTTCTTAAATATATGTAAAATTTAGTAATATTAATGTAAACCTTAAAATAAACATAGATGAACAAAATTGAGTATTTAAAAGCCTGAATGTCACCCCATATTGATAAATAGTGGGATGGTATTTGATCCATCGGATTTCACTTGAGTTTGCCTTTGCACCTGCCTTGGGACTCTTCATGTTCCAGTGAGATGTGAACAAGTTTTTGCTCAACTAAGTGTCACAGTTGATGTATTTGATAAAGTGGAAACACTTGTCCCAGTTTAGTAATCAACCTGCCGAACCCGTTTCTACGCTCCCCAAGCTTATTCTTTTACTGATTATTCTAAATATTTTTGTTGATAAAAATATATCAATTAAACAAGTTGATGTGGTTGTATGGTATGTAGTCATCCTTTCACTAGACCGGGGTTTGATTCCCATGACATCATATTTTTGGCTGATATAATTCATTTTAAAAAAAATCAATTGATTGATTACAATATATTTTATTAACGTGACTTACCACATTAATATTTTAATATACAGAAAAATATTAATTATTAATTAATTAATAATTTTCGTTCAATCAAAATATATTTTACTTCAAAAAAAAAAACTAAAACACTATAAAAATAAAAGATAAAATGAACTTTTATACAAATAATAGATTCTAGTTTTATCGTTGCGACTATTTAAAGATAATTTTCATATCACTTCAACATCACTGGTATTGGTAAATTAAACTTTCTCATATCCAGCCGACAAAGAAAAGAGGTTTTCCTGTACCAATCACTTAGCTGAAGATAATCTGTGAAATGACGGCACCCAGCTGCTTGAAGCACTTGATTTGCTCACAAGGCCATTATTTGCAGCTTCAGTTGGCTCCTCTGCATTCGGTAGATTCTTTTGCAATGCACCAGGAAGAAGCGCGGGGCAAATGAAATAGATGACATTGCTGCACTTCAACAGTCATATCCCACAGCAGTTGTTTTACATTAAACTGCCTATTGAATGAAGTAGATCAGCTTGACTGATACTTATTCCAGAAAAAGAAGAATTGAATATGAAAGAACCTCTCCTGGTAACAGCCCCTACCTCCAAGGGTGGCGTCAAAGCCCTGCCTTTCATCTTCGGTAGCAAAGAATATTCTTTCCCGTTCTCTTTTACATTTTTTCATATGCATGCATCTTTTTCATACAACCTTTTTTCAATCTGTGACAGCAAGCGAGGTGTTTCAACATGTGGCGAGTGTGGGGTTATTACCGAACATGATACTGTACTTGACGACAGAATATGGTTTGGAAAATGCTAAAGCAGCCAACTTGATCTTTATTTGGTCAGCTTCCAACCAGTTCACTCCCATCGTCGGTGCTTTCCTGGCCGATTCCTATGTGGGAAGGTACTTGATGATAGGATTCGGATCCATTTTCAGCTTCCTGGTAATCCCTTTTTTTTCACCATTTCTTTAATTACCTCAACTTTCGGCATTATTGATGATGTAAATATTTTAGATAATTTGTATTTTGTTAATATTTGTGGATTTTGTCATTAATCGCTTTAAATTATTGGTGGGATCTGGAGAAGTCTAATACGTCATTTCCTACGATTCTATTGGGCTATGTAAAGTATTCGTGGACCACAGTGTTTTTCAATAAATACAAATCTGGATTTTCAATAATAGATCATATATTATATACATAAATGTAATAATCGGTGAAGTTATATGTCGATTGGTTATAAAATATAATATATATTTTTTAAAGAATTTGAATTTAAACAAATACGTTGGTTAAATATGTACATTGTCAATAAGTTAATAAATTTTGTGAATAAATATTATATTATGATTACTGATGAAGCTATACTTCGGCCACTTCCCTTATTTTTTATAATTAAAAAAAATACATGGGTAAATACCAAATTATATCTTTTAATTTAGTTAATTTTGATTTTATCTCCTCATTTTCTATGATTAATTATACTATCATCTTGAACTGTATCTTCGCTCCGTTTCTTATAATCACCCCAAATTACATTACAAACTGATCGAGATTTAATCTGTTATTATCTATTATGAAAATGGATAGATTAATTACTTGAGCTTTTATGATGCAGGGAATGTTTCTTTTATGGTTAACAGCCATGTTTACACAAGCAAGACCTCACTGTGACAAATTTAGTAGTAGCAGTTGTGAATCCCCCACAACACACCAACTTCTGTTCTTATATTCTTCATTAGCACTAATCTCTATCGGAGGCGGTGGCATAAAATCATCTTCCTTAGCGTTTGGTGCAGATCAGCTGACCAAGAGAAACAATGTGGCGGATGCAAGAACCTTGGAGAGTTACTTCAGTTGGTACTATGTTTTCGTCCAATGTTCGGCTCTAATTGCATTTACATGCATCGTTTATGTTCAAGACAAGTTAGGATGGAAAATGGGATTCGGGGTTCCTACCATTTTAATGCTCATTTCATGTATTTTCTTCTTCTTGGCATCGCCATTGTATGTCAAGTTGAAAGCCGGGAAAAGCTTGTTAACCGGTTTCGCTCGAGTTCTGTCGGCCTCCTTTCGGAATCGACACATCGAATCGAATGGAGTCCAGTTTTTCAGAAAAGGATCGGTGCTTCACGTACCAAGTGAAAATTTGAGGTTTCTGAATAATGCTTGTGTGATAAATGACACTCAACAGGATTTAACCTCGGATGGAAATGCTTCAAATCCATGGAGTCTTTGTACAGTAGATCAGGTAGAAGAGCTGAAAGCATTAATCAGAGTGATTCCGGTCTGGTCTACGGGAATCATCACCGCCATGACATGTTCTTTGGATTCTTTTGTAGTTATTCAAGCAGGTACCATGGACCGCCATATAACTCCGAATTTCGAAATTCCAGCAGGTTCATTTGGTTTGTTTTCAATAATCACATTTATAATAGCCATTGCATTGTATGATCGGGTAGCTCTTCCTTTAGTATCAAAGATTAAAGGAACCGGTTCGCCTTCGACTCAAACAAAGAATGGGGATCGGACTTGTTTGGTCTTGTGGAGCCATGGTATCATTAGCAACCGTGGAGTATATTCGACGGGAAATCGCGATCCGGCAAGGACTTTCGGATAAACCGCAAGCCATGGTGCAAATGTCTGCAGTATGGATTCTGCCATATTGTATCTTGGGTGGCCTGGCTTCGGTTTTCAATGGAATTGGACAGGCGGAATTCTTTTACTCTGAATTACCTAAAACAATGTCTAGTGTTGCAGCCAATCTTCAATCATTAGGAGCATCTGCAGGCAGTGTGGCGGCAAGTTTTGTAACGAGTACAGTTGATGTTGTAACTACAAGAAGAGGGGAAAGCTGGATTTCCAGCAATATTAACAAGGGACATTACGATTACTATTATTGGCTTCTGGCTGCCTTGAGTGTTGTTAATTTATCTATTTTTTAGGTTGCAGCAAGGCTTATGGTCCTTGCCAAGGAGAAGAGACTAAGGATCGGGCATCTGCCAAAGAAGATCGCGATGATTGTTAGTTTCTTAGAATGCAATAGATGCAAATGACAATTACAAATTTGCTGCCTTCGTATTCAAATATCGTATAATCTTATTTCATTTTAAATTATATGTTTAGCACCACAGGAAATTTAGAAAGCTCGGAAGTTAAAGCCAAAGAAAATTTAGACTAATTAATTATTTTTAAAATGATGTTAATTTCATTTTTATATATTTTTTATTAAAAAAAGAGATGTCAACTGATTTTTTTTTATAAATGATTCTGCTCATAAAACAATCTCCCATGGTAGACCTCAGTGACATCAAAACCATGCGTTTCATCTGTGGATTAAATTATATTTATCGTAGATTAAATGAATTTTTATTTGAAAAATGTACTTTCAATGTTTAACGCAATTTCAAAGACTTATTTTTTTTATGATTAAAAGTAATAATTCATTTGATTTTTAGATACAATTAAAAGAGTTAATTTGATATTTAAACATTATTATTATTTTAAGGTTGAGATATCTATGTTTAAAAATCAAAAGAATTATTCAATTGACGTTTGTTTTTCTTTTAAATTTGTAAGACTACTAACATTATAATTTTAATACTCTTATGATGATCATTTGGGATTTAACCCGTTCATTTATATTTTTAATCTCTAGTCGATCATGAATCCTAAAAACTTTCTTTGGGTTAATGGATGAATTTATCGTGAGGAATGCAGATTTCAATTCTAAAATCACTGATATAATAAGGATTATTATAATTCACTATAAATAATTAATTAATATAGATTAATTAACCCAGTGTGAAACATGGGTGTCATACTAGTCATTTCTATTTGCCTTGGTGGGGCTACCTAAAATCACGTCTTTAGTTTGCCTTTAGTTTGTGGTTCTGCTAAAGAATGCAATCAAAGATCAATCTATAATCATAGTCCAGGGGGTTTGGAAAATGGAGACAAACCAAATATACCTTCCACATCAACAGGAACCTGAAGAGCAGTTTTCAGGACCTCTGGAGTTGTGGTCGTCCCTTTCCAAGTATTGAACCATGGCCCTCCTCCCACTTCTAGTGCTGCCATGTCACTTTTTACATCCAAGAGTACCTGCATATTGATTTGAACTCATTACAAGTGATTTGAACATATTGAGTTCAATGAAAATCTATTGAAAGCAACTTCCGAAGACGATACCAATATAGCAACGAGGGCAGCAACCAAAGTTATAGGATTGAACAAAAGTAAATACCAACAGAATCTTTAAAAACACAAAACTATTGGATCACTGAACCTCGTGTTTCTACGAACAGGTAAGTTCATAACTGCCAAGAAAGTAACAAAAACATACCTTCCCCTTAGTGCCACCATATTTCTTTTCCCATATCTTCAAACTTAGATTACCAAAACAAGTGTCTTTACAAGCAGGAGCAAGGCCAGCCTCTTTTGTTGGAGCACGCAGTGTTGTACCCGGATCATCTGTTGTAGCCTCTAACTCAACCTGCTCAGAGGCAAGAACCAAATACATTAAATACACTATTAGACAGAACAGTAGTTTTACAATCATTTAGACCCTAGCATAATCTACTTGTAAGTTTTAATGATCCACGAGGTCTAAATATCCATTGATATTATGTTTGCAAATTTCAGATATTTGGTTTAAAAACTCTCGACACTAGCACAACGATGGGAAAGAAACATCACCAACAGCTGTAAAATATTACCATATATGCCTCGTTCTTCCCAGCAATGTACCAGTAACCCCAGTGAGAAATTTCCCATGATAGAGCTCCATTCCATGGCACAAATTCATACAAAATCCCATCATAATGCACTCCAATCTGCACAAGCAGTAAAAAGGTTCATTCGTATACCAAGTTATAAAATCTAGTAGTTTGAAACAAAGAATATATTTTGTTCAGAATACAAGGCATATGGGATGTGACAATATCCAATTCAATTCATAAAAACTTTTATACGGATACCACAGTATATGACTAGTGACTCATGAAAAGAAGGATGTGGTTTGAACGAGTTCTCTAGGAACATGATACTATAACAACAATAATAACACTTTAGAATCAGTTTTCTTTAACAGCAGACCCACTGAAGCTCGTACTGACAATAAACAAGGGGAACATCCTAAAAATATATGTCCAAGATTCCTGTTTGCATAAAAATGACAAGCAGATTTCATAGAAAGGAAACTTAGGCCAAAGTGGAAAAATCAACAGGACATTTATGATAAAAGAAACCATTGTAAACACGTTTCCCCCTTCTCTTTCCTTCCATTCTATAGCTTCTATTTTATTTTCAAGCTACAACAATCATTAACCGACTCAAGAGATGCAAGGAAACAATAAAATTTGATAAAACTCAAGTACCAATGCAGCATCTTCAAAGGTCTCTGTCAGGCCAGGCAGTTGCCTCAATCCACCACCAGCAGTCAGTGCAACTTCTCCGCTTGCACCTTCAAAGACATTACATTGAACCTGTAGTAATATGTCAATGATCATCATGGTTAATAGAAAATGATTAAGCCCGATGCAATGGAAAACCCAATGCAACCAAATGTCTAGGGTCAACATGATCAATAGTTAGATAAGCATTCAGGGAGGCATGAAGGAAGGGAGATTTACCCAAAACCATTTTCTAGGGAAGGCTCCACCCCAGTTCTTTTCCGAGTATGAAGGGGCATCTTGAAACTCAAACATTTCACCATCCCACTCTATCCAGCCTGCAACCCAAAGTCATAACTGAGAAAACATTCTGAACAGAAAAAATGGATTTCTTAAGAAATTAAATTTCAGTTATGGTGATAGGAAAAGATGGTGAACAACATAGCACAATGAGCAAAGATGCAGACTAAAGACTAAAGAGAAACACGAGGAAAGGAATTCAAAGTTTAATTGACAATAGGAAGGAGACAAGCAAGTGCCTGTTGAAAGTCCACCAGCCATGCAAATTTGCCAGTGGGGTTCAAATATGGGAAAAGCTGCAAGCCAGCCAGCTGTTGACTTCTGCTTGGACCCAACATCACCCCATCCATAGACGGGACGAGTACTGTACTGCCAACGTGCAGTTTTAACAGTGTTGGCATAATGTGTTCTGCAATTAAAATCCAAACCAAGTGAAAAGGGATTGCTGAAATAACTGATAGTAAGTTAGACATTTTACTCAAATCTAATTTCGATTAACATAAAAGTCATAAATCACAACATAGAGTTTTGAATAAAAATAGTAAATGCAACTTGATGGAAGAACCAGTTCTATTCTGATGGCATGTTTGTTATGCCTATGATTAAACAAGGAAGAGAACCCATGACCATGCAGCAGGAATACTTCAACAAGAGAGCATAAATACATCATCAAATATAATTTTTTATACTTTCTTCTCATGAAGGAATAACACTACTAGTTCTTTTAAGATATCAATAAAAGGATATTTCATTTCTTCACACTCTGGAACAAAAGCTTAGTAAACATTCAAACCTAGTTAAATGCTTTACTTTTCTGTAGGAAGAGCAAAAATAACGGTAGAGAAAAACTGAGTTAGTACATATGTTTAATGCAAAATCATGCTTATGAGTTCAATATGAGGAGGCACCTTCCATCATCGCAAATAAAGCCTTGATGCCAAAGTGGGCTAACTTGAAAGCCTTCCAAAACTTTACTATTGAATTCCTACGAGGAACAGTAGGAGAAACATGTAAAGTTTACTAAGGGTAAAGACTAACCAACATAAAATATCCCATAGCAGCTGCATAGGTTTTCTTTGCAGGGATTTTCCTTCAAATAGTAGAATCCAAAAACAGCTTATTGACCTGAGGAGGAACCTCCTTACTGGGAGGTTGTAAGTCTTTGTTGGCTAAAAAAGTATTCCCCAACATTAGCTCATGCCTGCCTATGCAATAAAAAATAGCAATTAGTCATAAAACACTGCCATTTATGCATTTTATCACTGCACCGTTAAGGTATAATCTAAAGAAACAACAAAATACAGATGATCATAATAGTAAACTAACTCTAGCTAACAACTAAACTGATAAAACTGCACTCAGTTATAAACATGATGCTTGGACGACCAAAGAGTCTCTAATTAGAGGCCAGAATAAAATATCTTTGTATAGCCCAAAATTAAAACTTTAAACAACTGAAAGAATCTCAAAAACTGTGACAAACCAGATATTAACAAGACCAAAAGATTAAGTGAAAATGATGCATTAAAAATGGATGAAAAATCACAATGCAATAAAATTCAGAGGGTGAAGTGGATTAAGATAAAGTTAAATTTCCTTAGTGAGAAGAAATCGATATATCAACATTCAGTTAGAAAAATTCAGGGCAAATGACTGAAAACATGTTCACTAGGTTTTATTAGACAGTGAGAGAAGCTCCACCTTCTCTCTAAAAATTTAGGCTTTTTCAAAAATTTCTTTCTTTATCCCCTTCGAATCCTTTAGATGGCGAGTCAGTTGAGAAGATCTGGTGGGAAGAATTACGTTACAGTTATTATTTTCAATATTCCAGATTGTCTTCATTATCAAGGTCTTAGGTTATTGTTCAATAAATATGGCGAGGTGGTCGATTCTTTCATTCCTAGCAAAAGAAGCAGGGAGGTAGCAGGTTCGGTTTTGTCCGATTTTCTAGAGTGGAGGATGCGAGGAGGGCTATCATCTGTGCCGATAGATCTTGGATTCAAGATAAAAGGTTAGAGTTTTCATGGCGAGATTTCAACCTCGTGATGTTTTCTGGATGAAAAAGTTTTCTGGTTCAAATTCAGCTGTGGTCAAGAGTAGTGAGGCAGATGTCAAAGAGGCGCCCATTATTGGTGTAGTTGACGAGGATAAGCTAATTACTCTTAGAGATAGTTTGGTTGGTTGGTGCAGAAAATTTATGAAAATGAAAGAGCTAGCTGCTTTTATGCACAAGGAAGGCATATTAGGCCCGAAAATTATGAGGTTAAGTGGTTTACCTATTTTGATCATATTTGAAGATGAAGAGAGTATGGACTATACTCTAAAAAATCATATTGGAGCGTTGAATAAATGCTTTGACAAAGTGGATTTGTGGTCGGAAAACTTTCAGTGTAGCAGCCGACGGGCATGGTTATCATGTAGAGGGATCCCACAGTTTGTGTGGTACCATTCAACTTTCAGAAACATTGCAGAAAATGGGGAACTCTTATCTCCATTGACGTAGGAACCTTTAATCCTGGCTCGTTTGATAGGTCCTGTTTTCAGATCATTACGAACCGCAAAGATCGAGTGGAAGAATCCTGTGTTTTGAAAGTCGGGGAACAGTCTTTTACAGTATTTGTTTATGAGTTTGAACCTTGCTTTAGCCCAGATTCCGTCTGGGTTGATTCGTCTGTGTTGGAAACGTCAGTTGCCTCCCCGTTGCTCACGGAGGGAGCTTATTGGTGTCTCGCCAGTTAAGCCTTCCGAGTTGGTGGTAGATGCTGGAATGTTTTCTCGAGTTAATCTTGATTCCAATAATATTAAGGAAGCTCAGCTAGAAACTCGAGCGTGGTTTTGAAGGCATGCATACTGGTGTGGAACGTGTGGTTTAGGTGCCGAGGAAGTAGGAAATGGTCCTTGTTCCGATGAGGTATGGGCTGTGGAAGTTGTGTCCTCGATAGTCCGTTACGGGACAGCTGCGCATGGGTCTGATTGCCAGATGAACGACACTTTTAATTCTTTGGAGGTAGCTAGGGGGCGCAAGTGGGGTCTAATGTGCATGGGCATAAGCTATCGTTTTGTGATAACCCGACAAATTGTAATGGGGCATCTATGCTTGGTTCAGTTGGCCAGAGGAGTGCAGATCTTAATATTTTGGAGGAAGCTAGTGGGTTACACGTGGGCTCAGGTTTGGATATGTGTAATGCTAGAGTTGATAGTGCAAATACGAAAGATGTGCAGCACATGTTTCTTGATGTTAGTGGTAGGCGTTTGGCTCCATTTAGAAATGTTGGTTCACGGCAGACCAAGGTATTATTAAATAGTAATAGTTTCTTGGAGATCCCGAATGTTAGTTCGGTTAGTGGGACAATTGTGCAGGATTATGACTTGGAGAGTGTTAGTAGGGCGCACGTTGGGTCTAAGGATGTAAGTAAAGATAACGTGCAGCTGCCAGTTGTGCCGTCCTCGACCATACCTACTGATGGATTTAAGGTATTGGTGGTACACGAGGAAGTGCTTGCTGGTCAGGGGATGGGGCTATCGAAATCCGAGAAAGTGGATGGGCGTCAGAGACAAAGAGCTTTGGAGGAGAGAAATGCTATATTTAGTTCTCTCCGAAATTTTCAAGAAAAATTATCGGCCCACCAAAGGAAGCCTCGTTAAAGTCAAAGCAAGAATTCTCAGAGGAAGGTGCATCGAGAGGAAGTTTTTTCTGATCTTGAAGGCTCTAAAGTTGGAGGTTCGGATGGTCTATGTCGACAAGTCGAGCTAGAAGAGGCAGTAAGGCGGAAGAAGATTCTTGTACTCTTCGTGTGAAAGTTCAGGGCTTTTTATTTTTGATTTTGGATTTTATGGTTTGGTTCAGCTTTGATATTCGGCTTTTGTTTTAGTTGTTTTGTTTGTGTTGGTTTTCGGGCTTAGTTCAGGTGTTAAGTCTGGTCAATCATTTTTGTGATTGTTGTTTTTGCTTAGATGGATTTCGCTGTGTTAGTGTTGTTGTATAGGGTTTTTCCGGCTGTTTTGGGTTGTTTGTTTATGTTGGAGGAGGCGATTCTGGTTGTATCTTATGTTTCTTATGGTTAATGAAATCTTAAGGCACTCTTTTCCTCCTTCTGCTGATTAAGGAGCTTTTCTACAAGCTCCTTTAATCAAGAAGGAGATTTTTAACGAGGCCTTCAATTCCTATAAAAAAAATATATATATAAATTAACCCTCTAATTTGCTACATATCCAAAAACAGTTATAGGAGGTAACTTCCCACCCTAAATGCTAGTTTCTCGGGACGATGAGATGATAAAACAGTCTACAATGAAGCCAAAAAATTGTTATTCCTGCAGCAACTATACTAAATAAGAGACTTTTAGGTCCAATAGAATGCAGTTTCATTACTACATAATTACTCACGAAAAATTGGTGGCCATAATAAGATCAGATCTTAGATTAAAATCTGATGAAACAAATAAAGGAAAAATCTTACTTCCCCAAAAATTTTGAGATTCATCAGTGTATTGGCATATATACTTGTCATCAGCACCAAGAATTTGAGCCCCAACTCCAGTAAATCTAGGTCCGTGCAGCAGCATTTCCAACTGTGTCAGTTTCCTCCTAAATGCAGGATTCTCTGCTGAGTACATGAAGCAAAAGCTCTGTTTTCGTTCTGGGATTGATACCTTAAAGTACCAACCCTCAAAAAATTGTCGAGTGGTTCCATCGAAGTGGTACCTGTATTATACAGCTAAAGCTTTTCATCAATTATGCATAGCACTACAGAGCCTTTGGTTAGTTGATCGCCATTAAGAAAGTAGCGTCAAATATTCTGTAATTGAGACTATAGCAAAACAATTTCCTTTATACTCGATAAAGTTTATATATATATATATAAAGGAACAGTTTAACCTTTAAAACGCACTTAAAAATTTCTCTTTGAAGTCTTGGCTTTACTTCTATATAATTCATTTTAAAACCATCGTAGTTTTTATTTCTCCTTTTATTGATAATCATAATGAATTAATCAACAGTAAGGCTAGCTCATAACCTTCACTTTTTAATCATTTGAAATGAAACAGAAAAAAATTGCTAACAAAAGCCGAGTCAAACTACGATCTGAATAGAAGATTTTCCAAATTTCAACTTAACTCAATCAAATTCATAGAACACAACTGAACAGAAAGCTACCCGCTGTGAGGAGTTCGAGTGTCTAGATTAGCCGGCGTGGGGACATAAACCGGATTAATGGAGACGGGCCTCTCGGCTACCGGAGAAGACGTTTCGGTTTTGTTTTCAGCGGCGAAGCTGCAAGCAATAAGCGGCGAGTTCGATCGAAACCCTAACCTAAGAGGGCGGATGCGTCGAGAAGAGAATCCACTGAAGTTTGAAGATTGAAAGGATTTAACAGGAGAACGACATCCAATATAAAAAGAAGTGAAACGGCAAAGCTCGTTGATAGAGTAAGTACTTAGCTCCATTTAATATCGCAAGATGACAATCAGAAGAAACAAAATCTGAAACTTTTAATGAAAAAAGGGAAATGCTGAATTTTTCTTTTAAACGGTTAATGTAAAAATAAGTGATTAAAATATTTCTAGATGCTGAATTTCTACGTTAGGTGACCCAAATTAAATTTATAAAACTTTAAAATTTTTAATTTAAAATAAAAATATAATTTATTTATCAAAATTTTCTTAAATAAAAAAAAAAAAGAGAAAATAACCTCAGTGATCAAAAATCCCATATAATATACGATTTTAACCAACTTTTTCCGGATTTGCCAAAATGACCAACAAAATCGCAATGCGATCGCTAATTCGTAATGCGATATCCATTATCGCAAATCAATTTCCAGATTCGCAACGCGATTATGACTATCGCAATGCGATTTTCCAATTTCGCGTTGCGATTTTCCTAATTCGCAATGTGAATAAGTAAATCGCAATGCGAATTTGGAAAATCGCAATGCGATACTGACTATCGCAATGCAATTTTCCTAATTCGCATTGCGATTTACATAGCGCCATTCGTATTAACGCGTATTTTTTTTTCAAATTCCAAACACGAATTTTTTCTTAATAAATCGGAAACTGAACCGTCCACAGTAATCGCAACTCATAACCTCAAACCTAAAATCACAACACTCAGTCCCATCTCCATCTCTCACTCTTTACGGCGAAATCCGTCCCCATCTCCGAAGATTTTCGTCCCCATCACCGGCGAAATCCCTCACAACCATTCACAGTCAAAAATCCCTCACAATCATTAAGAAATGGAAAATCAACCTCCGAGGGTTAGTTTTTTTTTTATTTTTATTTTAAAATTTTTGCATTATTTTAGGTTTTTCATATTGAGATTGATGATAAGTTTACTGGTAATTTCAATAATAGATTAACCATTTCACTTATATTTCTTATTAAATTCATTCGATTGCTGCCAATACTGCTAAACTGTTTAGCCTGTGAAGTTAGTATTTGTCTTTGTTTTGTCTTTTGGTTGAAGTAATGCAGAAGAATAATAGTTTCGAGAATGAAAATCGCAACGCGAAATAAAAATCGCAACGCGAAACCAAAATCGCATTGCGATTTTCATTTCGCGTTGCGATTTTCATTTCGCATTGCGATTCTCTCGTTGCGATAGTCATTTCCGCGTTGCGATTCTCATTATCTCGTTGCGATTTTCATTTCAACCAAAAGACAAAACAGTGTTACAAATTTTAGTTTCAAGAATAAACTACTATTTATGTTTATTGTTTTTGGTATATCTTGACAGTGTACTTTTTGGTATATCTAACTTGGTATGTTTATTGTTTTTGTAGAAATTTTTTTTCGGCTTCATTGACATTAAGGAATAAAGTTAGCCTATCCACTACAATTGCTTCGAAGCTTTCACCTGCACAAAGAAAATTGTTTGAGGAAACCTGCTTCGGGCCATGGCTGAGAGTACAGCATCCGAGTGGAGATGCTAATTTGACCCATTTGTGGCTTCAGACCATGACTAGCGATCTGCCCGACAGTATACAACGTGGTGAGGAAGAGATATGGTTTCATTTTCCACCGGAGTATACTTTTTTTGGGCGGAAGGAGTTCTGCTTAATCACTGGTCTACGATTCAGACACGATGATGTAGGCCGGTACACTCGTCATATCACCCGCCCATCATTGTTATACAGGGTTTTTCCCGATGAGTCAATAGAGAAGCCGAACTAACACGTCGACGATATGAAGAAATTGTTTAATAAGAAAGATAGTTTTACTCGGATGAATGACGTCGATGTTGTCCGAGTATGCCTTCTACTACTTTTGTATGCCGGCTTTTTAGGCAGAGAGGCCAGACAACCTATTCCTCAGGAGCTAATATTATTGGTAGAGGACCTAAATGCATGGAATCTGTTTCCGTGGGGTTCGTATATATGGAAAGCTACCTGGACTAAGTTGTCGTCTGCCTTTGATGACCGCAAAAGTTTGCGGGGCGATGGGTCGAAATACACTTTGTCAGGCTTTGTTTGGGCCTTTAAGGTAAGAATTTCTATATAATGTTTTCAAAATTATAATTAATTATTTAACAATTACTAATGTTTGTTATTATATTGTTTGTAGATTTGGATATTCGAGGCCTTTCCCGCCATGAAGACATATGCAATAAAAATTTCAAATGATATTCCCAGGGCTATTTCCTGGAAGAGGAAACGTCTGTTGGATTGGGAAGACTTAATACCATATGCGACAATAAATAATGTAAGTTAACACAAATACTATCATATATAAACAAGTTATTAATAGTAGACGTTTAACTTTGTTTGAGTTTTTATATTTTTAGGAGGCCAACATTCCATTAATGAGACTGACACCCACGGAGGCTGAGCTTGCCACTGATTGGTGGCAAGCTAGTCAGCGTTTTCTTGATGGCACGAATGATGAGCAGCCTCCACTTCCTCCACTTCGAGAGCCATCACCTCACCCAGAGCCATCACCTGATCGACCCGACTATACACCTCTACAACGAGAGCCACCACCTATCCCGTCACATTATCGAGCCTCTTCTCCACCATCACCTCATGATAGGCGACCAGCAAAGACGCCACGACTTCTATCTCCCTGTTCTCCACCTCCACGGGATGAGTCAAGGGAGTTACGTGATGAGGTCAATGCCTTGCGTGAGGAGATCAGTACTCTACGCGATAACGATGGTGCATGGCGTGTGGAGGTGTCTACTTTACGTGGTGAGGTTGCCGCTCTACGTGAGATGGTAGTATCGTTGCAGAATGAGGTTCATACTCTACGCAACGAGGTAAGTTTAAGATTTTCCATATTTAACTTGATGATAAATTTACTCGTAATTTCACTTAAATTAACCATTTCACTTAGATTGCTTAGTAAATTTATTCGGTTGCTGCCAATACTGCTAAAATATTTATTAACACTGTGAAGTTAGTATTTGTCTTTTTGTTTTGTCTTTTGGTTGAAGTAAATTTATTCGGTTGCTGCCAATTCTGCTAAACTGTGTATTCTTTAACACTGTGAAGTTAGTATTTGTCTTTTTTTTGTCTTTTGGTTGAAAGTTTGAAATATATTTGTCTTTGTTTTCACTGTTTAAATATCATGTCTGTTTATTTACTGATATTTGTATTTAATTATTTAGCGGACCGATAAGGTGGATGCTTTACGTCGGGTTTTTCTTGCACGACAGAGTTCACGCATCAGACGGCGTGCACGTGCTATTAAGTCTCCGTATACCCCAATAGTGCGAAGACACCGCAAGAAGAAGCCCGACTCGCCTGTCATCCCTCAAGAGTCCACTCCTATCGTTGAAGAGGCCCCTATCATTCCACGAGAGTCCCCTCCCACCGTTCAAGAGGCCACTGTCATCGTTGAAGAGGTCCCTCCCACCATTCAAGAGCCCGATTCACATGGCGTCATATGTAGGATTCTTGAGAAACCCTCTGACGTGCCGGACATAATGGATTCAAGTTGGCTCTCGTATGAGTTACCGGCCAGTACCATACCGGTATCTGAAGTGGAGAGGAAACAACTACCGGACACAATTCTGGATAACACCCTTTGGGCTAAGACCGCAGTTGATTTTTATCTACATGAGCGGAGCCAGGGGTGTTTCACTGACGTATGCAAGCTCAACGATGATATCTATTTGTTGCTTGATCGGTCTTGGTGGGGCGTATTATTAGGGGTCGAAGACAATGGCTATTTCGATGGAGGGGTAAGTCTTATATTTTTCTTATATTTTAATTTGATTATATTTTTTTAAATTTATGTAAGTTACTAATATATGTCTTTTTTTGTAATACAGCATATCGATGCGTGGGTGTCACGTCTTCTAATAATTAGGAAACTTAAGGAAAATAAAAGAAATACACGATATACAATTATGCCGACGTCTTTTAACGCCGTTCACTTGAAGAATCAACGAGATGAATCATTTGCGTTGGGCAATAGACAAGCTAAACTTTATCCTGAATGGTGGGAGGTCGATAAGGTTAGTGTTTATTTTAGATTTAGTTTAAAGGTATTCATAAATAAGTGCGCAAATGAATGAATTATTACTTATGATTGCATGTGTTTATCCGTGTTTTAGAACGTAAACATTGGCTTCTCGTCGAGCTTCAGATCCCATCCCTTAAGGCAATAGTATATGACAGCATGATAAATTACATATCATTGGCTGATTTAAGAGATATTATTAAGGGATGGAGCTCTTATTTGGCTAAATTCTTGGATGCGATAAATTATTGGACTCGTTCTGGAAACAAGAAGCCAAAGAAGCTCAATATTACAGTTAGCAAAGACGAGACCGCACCACAACAAACGAAAGGACCCAGAGGGGATTGTGGTCCTCTCGTATGCTTGGCGTTGGACCGTTTGATCACAGGAAGTATAAAGTATCTACCTCCCACCGATAGAGATAGAGCTGCAGTAGGCTTGTGGTTTCGGCATTATATGGCTAGATCGATATATACGAGACGCTGCCTACCTGCATCCGCGTTATAAAAATGTCCATAAACAATTGGTATGTTTATAGGCTTGTGGTTTGAAAATGTTTGGTTAAGTACCTAGAATTCAATAATTTGTTGTTTGTAGGCTTTAGATGTGTAGAAAGTGTTGTTTGAGCAAATGTTTGGTTTATGCAGGTTAATCTCATAAGTGAGCTGCGTGAAAATGATGTATGGCTGCAAAAGTTGATTCGATAGTAGATGAGGAAATAAGAATTATTGCTTATTTTTTGATTGTTTAATTGATTTGTAAAAGTTGATTTGTTTAATTGATGTTAACATAATTCTTATTTGTGCTTGTTTAATTGATTGAAATGTAATGGTTGATTTTGTTGATTTCAATCTGCATTATGTTGAAGGCAAAAAGTACTATCGCAATACGAAATGAAAATCGCAACGAGAGAATCGCAACTCGAAATGAAAATCGCAACGAGAGAATCGCAACGCGAAATTAAATTCGCATTGCGATTCCCTCGTTGCGATTTTCATTTCGCATTGCGAAATTCGCGTTGCGATTTTCATTTCGCATTGCGATTATCTCGTTGCGATTTTCATTTCGCATTGCGACAGTAATTTCCGCGTTGCGATAGACATTAAGATGATTGCCTATTAAGTGATAACAACTGAACAGATCATAGCAATTTTCAAACTCAAGTTTCTAATACATGCCTAACTGAAAATGTTAAAAGTTCACACATAAAATCTACATAATACAACGTTTGCATTTAAAAATCACCTAAGTTAACAGTCCCAAAAGGTGAAGCCAGTTGTGATTGGGATTTTAAAGATGATTGCGATTTTGATTGCCTTTTTCTTGATACCATATGAGCTTTGGATTTTGATGATGATCCATATTTTGGTAGAGGAAAAGATGATTGTGATGGCACTGGTGATCCACATGTCAACCTTGTATGACCACTTTCCTTGCACCGACTACATGTCAATCTCTTCTTCTCTTCACCCTTAGACGGTATACGATCGTGACTTTTTGGTCGGCCAGGTAGCCTTCTGTCCATGGCTGGTGGCAAATCTGTTTGTAAGTCATCTGGTATATCCCACTCAGAAGGATGTGGAATAGGGTAGACAATCTCGCCATAAGTCTGTCGATATACTTCTGTAGTGTAGCAATCCATAGCGTATGTGCTTGAATCATCTTGGTTTAGATGAAGAGCAACTTTTATAACATGGTCATACGGATAACCAGATGTTTGCCATTTCATACAACTACACGTCCTTGCATTTAGATCGACAAGCCCATTTAAGTAATTATCGAGTACTTCAAACAAAGTGTTTGAACATTGTTCAACTCTCCATGACGTTGACTTCACAACACGTTTCATTATCTTTTTTTCAGTCCATTGTGTAACACGATGTTCCAATGTTCCTGTAAATTTAAATAAATAATACTTAGTAAAATATATGATAAGTTACGAATTCAAAGAAATAATATCTACATGGTTTCTTTTCTTGTAGTACCACTGTTGAATAGAGGCTCGAAAAAACTCCATTAACATAGTAATGGGTAATTTCCGGGAATGACGACTTAGAGCGTTGATTGATTCTGCACTATTAGACGTTATGAAACCATATCTTGCTTCAAGTTGATGTACTCTTGACCATCTTTCAAACCCGACATCTTCTAGTGTTTGAGCACACTGAGGCAAAACACGTCTTAAACAGTTTATATGCTTATTGAAATCCACTTCCCGATAAGCTTTTACAGCCTTCCAGTATGTCCATTTGTGCTTTTTTATACCAGCAGACCTTGATTTTAGATTTCTATACAAATGAACACCACAAAGTCCATGAAAAGCATCTGGGAAACACCTTCTAACAGCGTTGTCAATTGAGTTTGCCCTATCGGATATGATTGTCAGATTGCTAATAGGACCTATGCAATCCCTAAGATGCCCCATAAACCATGTCCATGAATCAGAGGTTTCAGATTTGCCAACCCCGTAAGCTATTGGCAATATCCCATTGTTAGCATCCATGGCTACTGCTAATAAGTTTACTCCAAGGTATCGACCTTTCAAATGTGCTCCGTCAACTATAATAACTGGGCGCATGCAAGTAATAAACGAACGAATCTACAAAATAATATACACAAGAAATATAATCATTTAAATGTGAAATGCATGTAACTAACAAAAATGAGTCAACAGAATTATATTGATTTACTAACCGCAACACCAATGGCGATAAACAGCAACTCAAAGCGTCCATCTCTATCTGTTTTGATATGAGTTACCGACCCAGGATTTTTTAGCTTTAAATTGTGACAATAAGCCGGCAGTTGGGCAAACGATGCTTCTGGCGACCCCCTTAACAATTCCAAGGCATAACATTTGGCTCTCCAAGCTTGAGAATATGATATACTAATCTTGAACCGAGCATTTATGGCAGTCATAATTTCATGTCCCCGATATACCCTGCCATTCAAAAACATTAACTCAACCAGAAAACCACCCAACACCTTTTTGTTTGCCTGTCTATGGTGAGGAAAAACTTGGGTTCTTGAACATGTATGTTTATCAATAAAAGTCCTAACTTGAAACATTTCGCAATCTTTTTATCCTCTTTGCAATCATACGCCACGTACAGTTTTTGTCAATCATACACCTTGTTTCGAAACGATCTTTGCTTGATTTGTTAACTTTTAGTTGATAGCCATCTTCCACACATTTTGTATACAAAGCTATCTTCAAGTCTTCCTTTGTATCAAAACAATCATCTTTCTTGATACGAATAACTTTTGTGTAACAATCAACTGCTTTCTTTACCAACTCTTCTTCCGGTATCTGAAGTAATTCTGGCATATTCCAGTTATACTCCCGTGGCATTTTCTTTTCTTCGGGGACTTTTTCTTCTTCTTTTTCTTCTTCAGGATTATATGAATTACAGAATGGATGTTCAACATGTTCATTCACAGTCGTAACTTCCTCCTCATTATCATCAACAACATCTTCCTTGGCAACGGTTGTTTCATCATCAAAATTCGGGTATTGACCAATATCAAAATCATTACACGCAGGGTCTGTTTCTTCTTCTGAAACATCATCAAAATCCGAGTATTGACCAATATCAAAGTCCGGGTATTGACCAAGATCAAATTTCGAATACTGACTAGTACTCACAATTTTTTCTGTTGGCTTATCATCGTCTAATTGGTCAATACGAAAACTGGAATTTGGTGCTGAAATATGATTGGGATTTGGATTAGAGAAAGGTTGTGGGTTTTGAGAAAAACTTAGTTGATTACTACCCGCTACTGACCCAACAATACTACTTCTAGGTTCAACAACATACAATGCAACATCATCACTTGAAACACTAATGTAAGTAATGAATCGTTCAACATCTTCATTGTCGGTTAACAAATAAACTTTACAAATTTCTCTGATAAGATAGCCTAAATCCACTTAGGGGCTCTAAATTCAATTTCTTTGAAACACGTAACATTAGAGTTTCATAAGTTAACTTTTTTAATGACAGTTTTAGTTGAAGATTCATGGGTAAAGGCATATATTGTAAAACACCATGGACATTCTCCCATGACCCTCCAAAACACAAATCTATCCAAACATGATCAACATTAGATGATTTCATGGTTGTAAATTAATTTACTAAACAAACGAGCTGCGAAACTAAGACTTGTTGCCGGATGGGGAATGATGTAGGAACGGATATAGGAACGGATGTCGCCGGAGAGAGTGATAGATGGAGATGGAATGAGTTGCGATTTAGAGATTTAGGTTATGAGTTGTTGCTTCTGTGTAGATATATACACAAAAAATTTGTGTTGCGAAACTAAAATCTATTGCGAACTTTGAAAATCGCATTGCAATTCTGTATTATCTCGTTGCGAAAGTAAGTATCGCGTTGCGATTTTCCTAATTCGCAATGCGAATAAGTAAATCGCAATGCGAATTTGGAAAATCGCAATGCGATACTGACTATCGCAACGAGATAATACAAAATCGCAACGAGATTCTGACTTTCGTAACGAGATTCTGAAAATCGCAATCATCTTCAAAATCCCAATCACAACCGGCTTTACCTTTTGGGACTGTTAACTTAGGTGATTTTTAAATGCAAACGTTGTATTATGTGTATTTTATGTGTGCACTTTTAACATTTTCAGTTAGGCTTGTATTAGTAACTTGAGTTTGAACATTGCTATGATCTGTTCAGTTGTTATTACTTATTAGACATTCATTTGACTATCGCAACGGGGAAATCGCAACGCGAAAATGGCTATCGCAACGCGAAAATAGCTATCGCAACTAGAAAATCGCAATGCGAAATGAAAATCGCATTGCGATTTTCTCGTTGCGATTTTCATTTCGCATTGCGATTTTCTCGTTGCGATAGTCAGTTTCGTGTTGCGATAGTCTGTTTTGCCTTCAACATAATGCAGATTGAAAATCAACAAATCAACTATTACATTTCAATCAATTAAACAAGCACAAATAAGAATTATGTACACACCAATTAAACAAATCAACATTTACAAATCATTTTTTACAAATCAATTAAACAATCAAAAAATAATAATTCTTATTTCCTCATCAATTATTGAATCAATGAATCAACTTTTGCACCCGTACATCAATTTCACGTAGCTCACTTAAGGATTAACATGCAAAAACCAAACATTTGCTCAAACAAGACTTCCTACACATCTAAAACCTACAAACAGCAAATTATTGAATTATAGGTACTTAACCAAACATTTTCAAACCAAAAGGAGTATATATGTTAACAAAACTTGCATTTGACTTACCAATTAACA